TCCTTTGTTCTGATCATTCTTGTATCTAGCACTTGTAATCCAGATTCCTAGCACTTGTAATCCAGATGCGACTATAATCCTCCTGCTATTGAGAGAATAGACCGTGAGATCCTACACCTATCCTAACAGTTTGTGCTTGACTTTGCCATTTTTCTCGTCGTGCTTCACTTATGTTACCTCTGATATTACTAGTACTGTCATAATTGTCTATGAATAGACTGAAAGCTTCACTGAAAAAGAAAGAAAATAAACGATTATACTCCCTTAGTATCAAAATATAAGACAATTTTTAGGCTAGTTTAGCTTGTAAAAACACCTTACATTTTGATACAGAGGTGGTAGTTTCATACGGGGTAAATGAATCGAGAGATTGAATCAGCCTGGATCCGACGTAAACTTAGGAAAAGGAAAAAAAATGATCCTACCAGTCGCACGTTTAGAGCAACTCCAACGCAAGGACTCAAACGGGCATCGATTTTGTCCGTTTCGTGTCCGTTTGGATCACCTGTCCGCCTAGTGGATATAAGGCGGATAAGCCTTGTATCCAACGCACGTCGACCCAAACTCTCCGCACCGCCCGCCCCTTCCTCCCTCCCTCGCGCCGCCCGCCCCCTTCTCTCTCCCTCGCGCCGCCCCTCCTCTCCTCCTTGCGGATCGCCTCCCCCGCGAGATTTTTCTCTGCTCTCGCCTCTGCTGCAGCCAACCTCTGCTCGCCCCGCCGTCCGGGCCTCGAGCCCCAGCAGGAGCGCGCGGAGGAGCCCTGCGCCGGTGGCCTCGCTGTGGCGTGGAGGAGCGGACGAGCGCGCCGTGGCGACCTGCTCCGGTGGCCTCGCGGCGGCACGGAGGAGCGGCCGAGCGCGCGTCGGCGATCTGTGCCGACGGCCTCGCTGCGGCGCGGAGGAGCGGCCGAGCGCGCGTCGGCAACCTGCGCCGGTGGCCTTGCTGCGGTGCGGAGGAGCGGCCGAGCGCGCGGTGGAGACCATCACCGGTGGCCTTGCTGCGGGCGTTGCAGTCGCGGACATATGGGACCAGGGGCGGACATGAGCGGGCGACAGCGATGGACAAGAGCGTTCGCTTCGTACCCATTTGTTCCCAGATTTGGGTCAGGTTTGGGTCGGGGACGGACAGCAGGCGAACACGGACGTCCGTTTGGGTCATCCCGTTGTGCCAAATTTTCTGTCCGGATGATCTAAACAGACGAAATGGGTCCTCCCATTAGAGTTGCTCTAATTGTCCGTAAGAAAAGGGCGGGGCATATTTTGGGCTGAATAGGAAGCACGGCACCGACGTTGGCGGTGCCAATTCTCCGTTTCTCACCGTCCCGTTGCGGGCCGGGGTCGCAAGCAGCTGAGCTGAGCTGACCGGGCACGTTGGACTCGAACAAATCGGGCGTGCGTGGTTCACGACGCAGACCACACGCCCAAGCAGGCGAGGCCAAACGTGCCACCAATGGCACCACGCCGCCAGCCAGCTGGCGGGCCCCACTCAGCGTCGGTCCTGCCGCCCCTAGCTAGGCAATCGCCAACGGCTACATTTTCTTCCCCCGCGCTCCGGGCACACGCGCACGTTCACAGAAATCGCTCTCGCGACCCCGACACGTGGGGCCAGGCACAAACTGTCAAGAGCAACCACGTAAAGTACGAACGCCCAGTGATCCTGTCGATGTGATGAAAAACGACATCGGCTTTGCACCCGATGCAGGTTCTTCACTCTCGACATGGACAATAGGATCGGGTTCAGCTCAGTCTCGTTCATGGGCGACTGCGACCCGAGAGGTTGCTTAGCCGAGGGTACGCGCTGCGATAACGACACTTTGCCTTCAACGCTCGCCTGTCCGGTCCGGTCCGGTCCAATTGCGGCCAGTCAGCGCGCGTCCCTCGGGCCTCTAGAGAGAGATCCCTCCTTTCCGGGCACGTTCCGGGTTCCCCAACTGCCGCCGCGCGCAACAGCACAGGAAGCGCGTGAATCCTGGATCCGACACGTGGCCACGCGTCTCGCCGTGCCAAGCTGCCGATGGCTCCCGGAGGTGTTTCGTGGTTCCCTGGGAGCAAGGGATGCGCGGGCAGTGCAATCAAGTGGGGGAAACAAACAGAGCGAGAGCGAGACCGCGTCCTAGGAGACGAGAAGGAGGCGTTTCGGAGTCTCAACAGCTTCTGCTTACTTGTGCGTCACACGGTGTTAACGTAGGTTTGACCCGACCGGCGCCCGTTCACCCCCTGCTCCTGTGTGACTGACTGCCACTGCTGCTGTGTTTCCTTGGAATTGCACTTCCTATCATGCACCTTCCTTATCGCGTAGGTAGATGAAAATATTTCACCTGCCCATCCGGCCATCCCCAACTTGCACCTCGTTTTTCTTCTCTTCCCGCGTAGAGTACGTAAATAACCTGCTGGCTTTTACCTCCTCATAAAGTTAATACAAAGTTGAGTCATTTATTTTGAAACGAAGGGAGTAGTACAGTGTTTCTCTGTTTTTGCCGGGATGCTTTTACATCTTCTAGTCTGAACTCTCAAGTACTAGTACTAGATGCTTTAGAAACCTAGGATTGGAATTGAAATACACCCTGAAATACCCCTACCTTTTTGCCACATGTTTCAGAGCCTCCAATGCATGATTGACATCTTTTTGTCCTACAAACTAGTGAAAAACACACCCCGCAAAAAAAAACTAGTGAACAACACATTATGTAAAGTATTTTGCAAGAGAAATGCAATCACTCCTACATGCACAATCTACATAGTAGTACAACAAATGGATTCTTCCATGAGTGCAGTGCGGTGGTAGAGACCTCCTAGAGTGGGGCTACCGACCAGGGCATGAATTCTGGTTCTTACAAGAAAAGGTCCCTTGATGTGTATACTTCCGCTGTGTAAGTCGGCGTGTTTGCTGTGTATACTTGCGTAGTGCAAGCTGGCGTGTTCGCTGCGTATACTTGCACTGCACAAGCACGCACTCGAAGCCTTTTCTCGACCTTATAATGCATTGCCTTCGGGTTGTCTCTACCCTAGGGTTGAGTATTTTTCTTTTTCTTAAACTGATTTTTTGCAAAGCTTCAAGATATGGTGATAAGCATGCACTTGTCTTGTTTCCGTTGTTAGGCAGATTTTGTGCCAAATTTCAGTTGGAAGTGGAGGCTACTACGGTGGAATTGAGCGAGTAAAAAAGTTGAAGGTAACAAATGGGTTTTTATTGTGAGAAAACAAATGAATTTGCAGGATCTACCTCTATTGAAACAACATAACCCTCCGTCCTAGGATACATGGTTTTCTTTTGACTAAAAATATCCTGTTAAGATATGATCTGTGTTATATGGAATTATAATTATACGTAAATCTCTACTATTAAGTATGAGTTGGTTCTGTCGCCTCCCCCTCCCTCGGTTTTTTCAGCCACACGTACCCCCCTTACTCCTTATTTTTTCTCCTGATTTTTTGATACTCTCAACCAATGTCGTACAGAATAAAAACACCGTAAATAGAGTAACTTGCAATAATCTAAATTAAATCAATACTTTTCCAAAATTATGTCATGCATTAACTCAATCAAATCAAATATGTCCAAAATCTCAACTAAACCAGAATTTTCTTTTACTCCCCCCAACGCATACCAAACCAAATCAAATCTTACAAAAAACTATACTAAATCAAAACAGTCCTTGAATTTTCGTACCCATAATCAAATCATATTAAATCTTATCAAAATCTAGAATATGGTGGGTGTAAGGCATGTGTCGAATATAACTAGCGTTGAGCCACTAAAATATGTATGTGCCCACTGCTACCCACGGGCAATTAGTTAGTACTTTTAAATATGAACTAATGGCATCAAACTTATGTCTTATTAATAACATCTTGACATGGTAACCATTGATTAAACCTTATCCCAACGAGCCAAAATATACCTTATATTTTTTGAACCAGTAGAATATATTATGACACAGAATGATATATTAGAACAATTTGTTTGAGTAGACAATGTTATCAGTTTGCACGAGTTAATATAGTTTTCTTCGAAAAAATCTAGCCCAATAATTGCATGAGTAAATATGCTAGCTGTAAATTGGCATGTTCCGACGGTACTACCTTACGATATATTTCAAAACGGAGGAACCATATCGCGACACATAAATACTATATTAATCTCTATATATGTATCTCCGCTAACATAAGGTTCCATCTTTCACTCAATTTTCTCCCCACCACCCTTTCATCCAATCTTCCATCCTCCATCTTTTTTTTTTTGGTTTTTCATCCTCTTTTGATTTTCATCAAACTAGATCATCTATGGGGTAGCAATAAATTCACGGTCCATATATAGTTTCTTTTTATGGTGTATCCGGTACCTATTAGACATCTTTGGTAACCCAATAAATAGTAATAAATTCATGATACATAAGCAAAATTATATAAACGAATCTCTTATATTTGGCAACCTAATACAGCAGATAAATCACGGGCAAATACCTATATTTACCGCTTTAAGAAATAGCTGAAAAATCACGTCGACGCCAGTGGTCGTTCGGTGGTATATGAAACCTGATGTAATTTTTATTATGTTTGAGGTGTTTGATACTTCCGGTGAATCCTTATAATAGATCTAATCCTTTTTGCAAAAAGAAAAAGTTTCACGATTCACTACTATGGCACTAGGGAGCAGTATAATTTTCTTCAAGGAAGGAAATGTTGCCCAATAATTGCAGCAGCAAATTTTCTACCTGTGCCAGCGGTGCCACTCCATCTGCAACAGAAAAAACATTAAGAAACAATGGTCCTGCAGTCCAGTTCACAATTGCGAATTGCCCCTAGGGCCAAGCGAGTGGAGTTCCCACGGGAGCGGCTCCCCCCGCCCGCGACGCGTAGTGGGCACCATATATAAGCCCGTTCAAACGGCCGTTTGCCCCAGACCCATCCAAACCTAATCACAAATCGAGGAAAAGCGAGGAGGCGTAGGAGCCGCAGTCAAGACCCCGTCCGCCTCCCAAGGCCGAAGAAGCCCTCGCCATGTCCTGCTCCGTCGCCATCCCCAGCTCGCCGGTCTTCTCCCCGTCGCGCCGCCCGCTCTCCTGCAAGGCCGCCTCCGCCTCCGCCTCGCCCGAGTCCGTCTCCGTGTCCGTCTCGTCCCCGGCGCCCTCCACCGCCGGCTCGCCGCTCCGGCCCTTCGGGCTGCTGCGCGCCCAGATCCGCGAGGAGGCCTCCCCGTCGCCTAAGACGTCCTCTGCGGCCCCCTCCGCCGCCGCCGGGTCGATGCTCAAGAGGCGAAGGCCGGCGCCGCTCATGGTGCCGGTCGACGGCGCCGCGGCCGCTGCTGCCGCGGCGGCGGCCGTCGCCGCCGTGGAGTCGGATCCGAGCAACGAGGTGGAGGAGGAGGGCGACGAGTTCGCGGCCTACTGCCGGAGAGGGAGGGGGAGGAGAAGGGTGGAGATGGAGGACCGGCATGTGGCCCAGGTCGCGCTCGGTGGAGACCCCCAAGTGGTAAGCTCGCTCGATGCATCTTCTCTTCTCTGTCATGAATTTGTTTTGCACAATTTTTACAAAATATTTTTACTTGACTTGACTAAACCCGGGATGGAAATTTCTTGCCGTTTTGTCTAATATAAAATTGTTAGAGGTACTAAACTTTCTCGTTTACCCCCAACTTTGCAGGCGTTGTTTGCTGTATTCGATGGCCACGGCGGAAAGAACGCGGCAGAGTTCGCTGCCCAAAATATGCCCAAGTTCATGGCAGAGGAGGTGAGGAAGGTGGACGGTGGTGACAGTGATGAGATTGAGGGGGCTGTGAAGAAATGTTACCTGAAGACGGACGAAGAGTTCCTCAAGAGGGAGGAGAGCGGGGGAGCATGCTGTGTCACTGCATTGCTCCAGAAGGGCGGCCTCACCGTGTCCAACACTGGAGATTGCCGTGCTGTCCTCAGCCGGGCAGGAACGGCCGAGGCACTCACCTCTGACCACCGGGCCTCCCGTGAGGATGAGAGGGAAAGAATTGAGAATCTGGTAAGTAGATCTTGTATGCTTCGAATGTGTTTAATTATTTGTGTGACAATTGTAGTTTGAAGGATGCGCACTTGATAAATAAACTAGACCTTGTTTCAGTTTGATAATAAAATTCTGTAATTGTATACAGCTAGTGGATAATTCTTGTTGCTTGGCTGCACATAGCAATTGTCCTGTGCTTATACAATGGAATAGATAGCTAAAATTTGAGTAATCATGAGCAAAATTTTGCAATATTTCAGTTCTCTGTGACTTATGTGCTCTATCCCATTATTTTTCAGGGCGGGTTTGTTGTGAACAACCGAGGGACATGGCGAGTGCAGGGCTCCTTGGCAGTGTCAAGAGGCATCGGCGATGCACACCTCAAGCAATGGGTGGTGGCTGATCCAGATACCAGGACACTCCTTGTTGACCCACAGTGCGAATTCTTAGTACTTGCCTCTGATGGCTTGTGGGATAAGGTGGATAACCAGGAAGCCATAGACATCGCCAGGCCTCTCTGCATCGGCAATGATAAGGCTTCTCGCATGGCCGCCTGCAGAAGGCTTGTTGAAACCGCGGGTTCCAGGGGGTCTACCGATGACATCAGTGTTTTGATCATACAATTGCAGAAGTTCTCAGGTTCTTCTTAACTTGCCATTGCTGGAGGAACTGGAGTCAAACTGTAGGAAGTAGCGCTAACAGAGTGGTGTATCGGGGTGGGCAGGATAGACTGATACCCATATGTTAATTTGCAAGCAAAATATTAGGTGTGGTTGCACCATTTTGCAGGCATTCAACTCTTTTCGTAGTACCATTCTTTATGTACTTAATTTAATTCCATTCATTCATTCTTTGGTTCTAATGTAATAAGGCGGGGGTTAGTACTCACTTCATACTAGAAGAGACTATTGTTGTATGTACATGGTTGACTGGGTACATGGATTCAGCATAATTGCCTCTTTGCTTATTTTCGCCAATATTCCACTCTTGAAGTGCATGTGGTTTATGTTCGTCAAGAAATCGACAGCCGACACATCAAAATAATTTGCAAATATAGCGCATGAAGGTTCCAAAATTAGACTTGGTTTGGAGGAGAATTGAGAGGAGATATATTTTTTTTGAAACGGAGGCAAAAGATTTGCCTCTTCAATTAAATAAGGAAGAGTAGAGTTTAGAATTTTACAACGCACTCACAAATAAGCGGCATGACAATTACTCGTACAATATGATGTTCCCTAGCTTTCTTGCGCGAGCAGTAACCCAAAGTTTAGCATCTTCTAAAATGTTGGTTAGGAGGACCGGTGGTGGTGCGCTTTTTTGACGGAATACTCGGACGTTTCTCTCATTCCAAATGGTCGAAGAAACAAGCATGGTGAGGGAAGCCATTGCGTGGCGGTGAGGGTTGCGGTCGTCGGTTCTTTTTTGGCACCACTCAGTGACGGTTGCTTCTAACTGCCAATCGAAGGTGTTCATGTGCGTGAGCCCAAGCCTCTCGATGATTGATCTCCAGAGCCTAAGCGTGTAAGACACTTGACAAAGAGGTGTATCCCCATTTCTTGTTCTCTTTTGCAAAGCGGGCAAGGGCCACAGTTTGGCCAACCTCGCTTCTCCAGACGATCGGCAGTCCAAATCCTATCTTGCAAAGCCAACCAAGCAAAGAATTTAAGCTTTGGAGGTGCCCAAGCCTTCCACACCATGCTCGCCGTGAGAGGAGATATTGAGTTCATTGTGGGAGTCTTTTTTTTAACCGGGCATAACTCTTTTTCATTAACTGAATAACGGAAATACACCAGTTCCGAACCCATTGTGGGAGTTTTTTTTTATCCGGGCATAACTCCTTTTCATTAACTGAATAACGGAAATACATCAGTTCCGAACCCATTGTGGGAGTTCTATGGTGTGTTTTGGGGAAAAAGTTGCCAGCATTCAGTTCAGCCAACAATTTGCTGCCTAAAAGTTCAGTCAAAAGCAATCTCTGAAAGGTTTTGGTGGTGTGCATACCGAGTTTGGTCTGTGTACATGTCTTGAAATGATTTGTGGCATCCAAATTCTTCATCATACCAAGTGTGGCATGTCTCAATTTTGTATTAATCTATTTTGTCTTGACCTGTAATAAACCATGTTAATTGTGGCTATATGCATCTATGATGCACATGTCAGGGGTAATAAAACTTCCATTTTCTAACAGGAAAACATATTTTTAATTGAACACTGTAGGTCTTGGAGGAGAAATAGTTCGAAAATTCAAACCCGCAAATGATAGACACAGGTTCAGATAGTGTTGCATATATCTAGGGGACTCAACTTATATCTCTTGGCAGACTGATACTGTAAATGAACTAAGGCATTCGCTCTGAAACACTTCTTTTGCGGGCTAGTTCCATAACATCAATTTTCCCAGCTATTACTCAGTCAGGACAGTTGCAACACCCTTGTACTGACTGATATCAGGCGACCATGAACTGTGCCTCCTTTGAATGTTTTGTTTCTTTTTGGAAACGGGCCTCTTTGGAATGTGATCCCCGGCACCCCGTGGGATCGCTCTGAGATGCTCTACGCCAGAAAGAGCTCTACGTTGCAGGAACTAATATATGTACTCTGACGCGGCATGTAAGCTTCCTCCACGACCTTGTGTCCATCCTGGTCTTGGCGTCTTCTTTCACCAACCGGAGCTGTCATCTAACATGGCGGTCAAAATTCAGAGGAGGTCATACTATAAAACACGATCGGACTGTTTTTCTCGCGCTACGACCAGCAGTGAGCGCATATGATTGCCACTACGTACGAGTGATCCCTTTTTACCAGAATAATGTGCAGCTTCCGGTTTGCAGTCGAGAACGAAATGCATTCGATGATGCACGCGGCACCACTTTGCCCCGAGTCCCTAACCGACGCTCCTTCCGGATCCAAGGAAGCGACCCCTAGAACGTGTGCTTTGAAACGAAACGCGTGTTCGAGATGCTCCAATAATGAAATGAAGGTGTCCGCGTTGAATACGATGGAGCTCCGATCAGTCGGTAAGCCAGAAGTTAGTTAATGGTAGTAGTCGCAGCAGCACACACATTTCGCCCGATTTGCATATCGCCGTGTATATGTCTGACACAAGAATGTTGTTAGTCAAAAGTACTTTCGTTTGGAAGCAGTCTAGTCAAGTACCTAACTGCGAATCAACTTGTGGTTGAGTTGGTTAGGTGGACAATGGTATTTTCAATCCACCAGGGTTCAAATTCTGGTGCTCGCATTATTTTTGGATTTATTTTAGGATTTCCGGTGATATGCTTTCAGTGGGAGGAGACGTTCCCGTCGACGACGAGGCACTTCATAAATCTCAAGATGATATGCCGGCTCAGTCTCTCGGAGGTGCTCATAGGGGGTAGGATGTGCGTGTATGCGTTCATAGGGGTGAGTGTATGCGCGTGTATATGAACGCTTGTGTCTGTACTGATGCTCAAAAAAAAAGTACCTGACCAGTGTTCATAGAGCATTTTAGTTGTAGACGGATGTTTAGACCGCTACTAGTGGTACGTCAAGTCCCGGAAAAACTCTCAAAATTCTGCATTTACTGCACGAATTGCCTCGTTGAAAACACTGTCTTGAGAAACTGCAATAAAACTCAAGCAACAGAAAAATAATACAATCATTTGATGTAGTTACGTGAAGTTTCTCCCCCTAAATTTTGTACTCCTCTGAGTCTTTCAACGCGATTCCTTACACAACACATTCTAAGTCGCAGCAGCACACACATTTTGTCCGATTTGCACATGACCGTGTATGTGTCTCGCACAAGAATGTTGTTAGTCAAAGTAGTTGCGTTTGGAAGCCGGCTAGTCAAATACTCCCTTCAACTAAAATTACTTGTCGCCGAAAAAAATAGATATATGTAGAACTGAAATACGTCTAGATACATCCATATCTGCGACAAGTAATTTCGGATGGAAGGGACAAGCGTTCATAGTGCATTTGTTGTACACGAATGTTTTAGACCGCTGCTTGTGGCATGTCAAGTCCCATATTACTCTCAAAATCCTGCATGTTATTGCACATATTGCCTCGTTAAAAACACTACGTTGAGAAACTTCAATAAAACTCAAACCACAAAAAAAGAAAAATACTAATGTGTATTG